ATCCTGGATTCTAATACCGGGAAATAATTAATATGCTTTCGAAATAATCTTTGTTTTAGAACACTCCTGAATTACCCCCTGGGGGAGGGGGTGTAGGGTGGAGTGATCGGAGAAAGGCAGAGTCCACGATTTTCTATCGCGTTCTTACGCTAATATCTAATGGTGGTGGGGGGCTCTTTGGTACGTTTGGAGCTGTTGTTAGCTATCTAATCTTTTATCGATTCAGAGGGTTCAAATTTACTTATTAATTGGCCTAGCTAGTTTGTTAGAAACTTCTTGTGTTCTCTTGTCTGGCATTTAGAATCTCTGATTAAAGCATAATAGGACTCTTGAATCTACTCGAACATTGAAAATATACTAACCCAATTTTAGTTGTCCTTGTTCCTACAAATTGTTATGACTAGTGCGTGTTTTTAAGTGCTTATTAGTTGTGGGTCTTATGGCATGTGTGGATAATGACTGGGTAGTAAATCGTGAATCATACGAACATTTTATATTGGACCAAATTAAGCTTTTCCAAACATGCTCTTAGTATTGTTGATTTGAATTTAAGCTAGTACAAAATATAACAAGTTTGGCATTCAACCGGTTTAAGTCTTATTGGTAGGAATATTCTACTATTTTTTTTCTAGTGGGTCTCTTATAGCAAATAGCAAATACAGTTCCTGTTTGATAACCATTATTTGAAAACTCTTTTTTCTATATACTTATTTTCAATTACACAATTGAGTATTCTGCCCGTAAATGCAAATTTTTTTCCTATTTTTTAATCACTATTCAAAATATTGTCTTTCCGAAATAATGTTGTCAAACAGGGGCTAAGACTGTAGGTGGGTGCTGCTGCGTTCAAAAAGATAGGAGCACTGATAGACAAGGTCTCATTCAAGTTGTGTCTGTTCTATTTTTGCTATAATTTTGCAATTGATTTTCTGAACCTCTCATATATTCTGTCTTTCTGTTTTCATCATTACTTTCTTTATTGTAAAAAGCATATATAATTTTTCCTTTGGCCATTCTTGTCATGTATGGGGATAGAGCATACCAGGTTTAAGCATGCAAGAATCTCATTTCTTCCATCCTCATTTGGTCATTATGTGGGAATATAAGTTTCATTCAGGAAGTAATTAGTTGAGAGGCATTGTGAATTATTTAGAATTAGCCTATTGAGCTGTTACTGGAACAATGCTGCCTCGACCATGGATCACCAGATTCATCCTCAAGCTGTGACATGGTTCATGCGGATTTGACCTGTATGGCGCGCATATGTACTATCCACTGGGGGTTGGGCCTCAACAGGGATTTCTTTTTCTCACCAGCGATTCAAGCTCAAATTGTTCCTTCTTCCGTATATTTATTTATTTATTCTCCAAATTTTGGATGCAAACTTATGATCCTCAGTGTATTTATACATTTATTCTTTTTCCAGACTTTGGGTGTTTGCATGTGCATAAATTGTTTGGTTGACATTACTTGTGATTTGCAGATTGGAAAATGCTGGGCTCATTGCCAATACTGCCTCTCCCAGCACCACCCTCCGATGGGAATCTTGGCCCAACACCTCCGGCTCAAGTGATAGAGGAATCTAAAGATGAAGAGATGAATGGGGACAAGACCAATGATAATGATGTATCCAACTCTCTTCCAACAACAGTTAAAACCCACACGAAGACTATTGGGATCATATACCCACCCCCTGATATCAGAAACATTGTAGATAAAACCACACAATTTGTGGTTAAGAATGGGCCCGAGTTTGAGAAAAGAATCATTGCCAACAATGAAGGCAATGCTAAATTCAACTTCTTACGTGCCTCTGATCCTTACCACGCTTACTATCAACACCGGTTATCTGAAGCTCGGGCCCAAAATCAAACTTCTTCCCAGCAGCAGCCATCAGAGCTTGCTGATTTGTCAGCTCCTGAGTCTGCTGCTACTGCTCCAGCTGCTGATGCCAGTGATGCCTCTGTAAAGCTTGATCCGTCGGCTCAGTTTAGACCCGTCCGAAAGCTTCTAGAGCCACCAGAAGCGGAGCAGTACACTGTTCGACTTCCTGAAGGGATTACAGGGGAGGAACTGGATATAATTAAGCTCACTGCTCAATTTGTGGCTCGGAACGGAAAGTCTTTTTTGACAGGTTTGACAAGCAGGGAGATCAATAATCCTCAGTTCCATTTTCTGAAGCCAACCCACAGTATGTTCATGTTCTTCACATCACTTGCTGATGCGTATTCCAAAGTATTGATGCCTCCCAAAGGATATACTGACAAGCTGAGAAATAGTGTTGCTGATATGACGACCGTCCTGGAACGCTGCTTGCATAGGCTCGAGTGGGAACGGTCACAAGAGCAGGCGAGGCAGAAAGCTGAAGACGAGATTGAACAGGAACGGCTTCAGATGGCGATGATTGATTGGCATGATTTTGTTGTTGTTGAGACTATAGACTTTGCAGATGACGAGGATGAGGATTTACCCCCTCCAATGACACTTGAGGAAGTTATAAGGAGGAGCAAGATGTCGACTATGGAAGAAGAAGAGATTGCTGAACCTGAAAAGGAAGTAGAAATGGAGATGGATGAAGAAGAGGTCCAGCTTGTTGAGGAGGGTATGAGGGCTGCTAGTCTTGAAGAGAATGGTGACATGAATAACAATGGAGCCAAGCCAACTCTCGAAGAACAGGAACCGCCTATGAGAATAGTGAAGAATTGGAAGAGGCCTGAAGAGAGAATCCCTGCAGAAAGAGACCCAACTAAATATGGTGTCTCCCCAATAACCGGTGAGCTGATTCCCATCAACGAGATGTCTGAACATATGAGGATCTCTCTTATTGATCCTAAGTACAAGGAGCAGAAAGAAAGGATGTTTGCCAAGATTAGAGAGACTACTCTTGCAGCTGACGATGAAATTTCCAGAAACATCGTGGGACTTGCACGAACACGTCCTGATATTTTTGGTACTACAGAGGAAGAAGTTTCTAATGCTGTCAAGGCAGAGATTGAGAAGAAGAAAGATGAACAACCGAAGCAGGTCATATGGGATGGTCATACAGGAAGCATTGGTCGCACAGCAAGTCAGGCCATATCTCAGAATATTGCTGGGGAGGACCAAAATGATCCTACGAATAACGATGCGAGAAACCTTCCTGGTCCAGCACCTCCACCTCCTAGACCTGGTATGCCATCAATTAGGCCTCTTCCTCCGCCTCCTGGTCTTGTTTTAAATATTCCTAGGCCTCCAACTACTCTCCAGTATCCGACCACTTCAAATGCTGGGGTAATTGCACCGCCACCTCCAAGGCTGCCAGTTGTCAACATGATTCCTTCTGTTCGGCCTCCACCTCCTCCAATGTCAATGATGCAAGGCCAACCTCTAATGGTAAATCGACCCCCAATGCCTCCATCAATGCCCCTAAATTCGTCAGGTGTCCCTGTTCCGCCACCACCTGGATCGCAGTTTACACCTCTGGGAGGTGCCAGACCTTTTGTTCCCCATCCCATGTCCCAACCTGGTATGCATATGGTTCCACCACCACCTATGCCGCAAGGAATGCCTCCACCACCTCCACCTGAGGAGGCGCCTCCACCGCTTCCAGAAGAACCCGAGCCCAAGAGGCAAAAGCTTGATGACTCTATGCTCATCCCGGAGGAGCAATTCCTGGCCCAGCATGCGGTATGGACCATCTTTGCTTTCTCTTCTACAATCCTTTTTCATAATTTTTCTCCTTGCTCCTTTCATGACACTGTCTGTTACTATTGTTGCATTTTTTAGCTTTAATTAGTGCGTTTTGATTGTTGATTATTTGAACTGTCTGCAGGGTCCTGCTTGCATCAATATATCTGTGCCGAATGTTGATGAAGGGAATCTCAAAGGACAAGTGTTGGGGATTACTGTAGCATCCCTATCTGAAACAGTTGGCAGTCTGAAAGAGAAAATTGCTGGTGAGATCCAGCTTCCTGCAAACAAACAGAAGCTGAGTGGAAAGGCTGGTTTTCTGAAGGACAACTTATCACTTGCATATTACAATGTTGCCCCAGGAGATTCCCTGTCCCTTTCTCTCAGGGAACGCGGTGGTAGAAAGAGATAAACTACCTGATTTGGCTAGTCCTTTACAAGGTTCATATAGGAAACTGTTGTGTTACAATGAAAGTTATTATCGTGATCCTTTGGGAAGCTTTTGTTCCATTCTTCTTTATTGTCACTCCAGATATTATTTTGGTCGTGTACTATTTAAATGTTTTGGAAGTTTAAACTGATGATTGTATGGTATCTACTACAGATCTGGCATCTTGGCGATCATCCCTCGAGGGTAATGTGAAGTTGACTGATTTTATGTTAATGAACATCTCGAGTTTGATATTTGTTATACTAATTTATGTTTTCTGCTTTTCTGTGCAGTTGCTCCTTCGCTAACTTGTGCTAAATAGTTGTTGTGACCTCTGTTATTCACTTGTTTCTGAGTGGGACTATTGTTTTATAGATGTTATACAGATTCTGACCTCTGTTTTCGTGAGTTCTGTTATAGGGAAGGAACAATTGAAGGTCATCCTTTGGATATAGATTTTGTTTTCTAGAAGATTTATTCATGGTTGAATTGGAAGCCAATTCTATAGCATGTTTCATGCACCTAATTTTCATATTAACTTGTCTTTAATGTTGGGGGTTTAGCTTAGGGCTTTCTTATGCCAGTTCTATTTGAAATTTATATACTTCGAATCAGCTTTTAACATGAAGTGATTTGAGGTTTCCTCTGATAACTTTTATTTCTCACTACAGAAAGTCTCTTCTATACATTTTCGTATTGCGAGTCCCCGGTCGTGATCAGTTGAATCAGGTAGAATAATTTTTTCCTTTTTGCCCATCCTGATATTCTGTTTCTTTTATTGCTTTTTTTGAGGATTTCAATGTTTATCTACTTACTTTCCTCTCTGCCTCAAACTGATAGTTGACTACACAGGATGTGCTACATGTACACCTCCTTAGACAGATTTTTTATTTTTTTAAATCTGTCAACCTATTTGTCAAAGAGGTGTACAAATAGCAGAACTCGGTCACAAGTAGATTTTTAGTTTGGAAAAAACTCCCTACACAGGCCCCTTTGCACAGGGCTTGTACATCCACCCCCATGTGTGAATAATGTGTGGGGTCCACTCTTTTAGTTTTTATCGAAGATAATGACATTTTGTTAAGAAAATAATGTTATTTGTACATGATGATATCACATAATGGTTCACATATAGATTATATGTTAAAAATAGAGGTTTTTTTTTATTGGTTGAAGAAATTATGATTTAATCATATTTCACCAAATCACGTGTAAATCATTATGTATATGTAAGACTAAGATTGCTTGAATGGTTAACTTGTCAGGTACTCGATGATGATGATGTTGCAGCAAAACATGCTCGGGAACAAGAAATCATTATGTACATGACATTGATGACGTCATCGTTGCAAAACATGCTTGGGAACAAGAAATTTACAGAAATGTGCATAATTAGAATACAGAAGAATCCGGAAAATTTTTGTTACCCTCTTCCCATTTCAGAAATGTCATCAACTTGTAACAAAGTGAACTTTTAATGTATCCACGATTAAATAAAAATCATGTGTTACCTCTGAGTCGACTCGTGAGGTTAAATGACCAATGATAACTATACCTTTTTATATTGTTTACAATTGGCTATTGGCTATTAGTTTTTGAATTTACCAAATCGTTATAGAACTTAGTGACGAGAGATGGTTTTTGTTCTATTTAAATTTGACTTGGAAAGGGAGAGATGGAAAAGGCAATGTATTGATACTCCAAAATGGTGAGGGAAAAGACCAATATAGAAAAAAACTGATCCTGTTAGCATCTCTTACAAATCAAAGGAATAGAAGAAGAAGAAGAATGTCGAGCTCTGTCGATTCGAGTATACGTTTAGGCCTATTATTTCAGTGTTATGTAATGTCACGGATGGATATTTTAATACCATTGTTACTAAATGAATTTACTCGTAGAAGAATCTTATAAAAATTTATTGTATCAGATCTATCTTATGATATACATAGAATATTGAAATTTGACATTGAAGCTTTCAACTCTGTATGATAGATACTAGTTTTACCAGTCGTTCAAGAAATGGAGCCACCTAGCCAGCAGCCTCCAGGCAATGGACTGTATACGTACGTACATTGGCTTTCTCAAAGATCTAAATAATTATTTTCGCAAAGACACGAATTCATATTTAATTAATTAGTTAGTTGATCATAAATGGTAACATTGACCTAAACAAACACAAATTACTCCTCCAACAAGTCTGCTAATTAATAATTAATTAATGGATGAGATCCAAATCTTGAAAATGTGTGTATTATAAATATATTTATAGGCCGTGGTGGGATGCGTCAAATGTAAGATTTGGAAAGAAGAGAAAAAACTAATAATTTAGTGAAAAGGTCGAATAAGACTTTGTTAAATTCAAAAAAATGATAACCCATCACATCAAATGTGAGGACTGAGGGGGGACAGCATTAATATATACGAAAACTTAGATAACATACATTCGATCGATAATATGATAAATTAAATCGTAAGTATATAAGTAGTTTCGACAAGTTTTTCGTGTTTTAGAATATAATCTCAAGCTTGGACGAGTGTCGTGAAATAAAAAGTCAAAACGAGTTTTTGACATGAAAGTGAAAAGCTAGAGTAAGGCACTAAACCCTTCAATTTTGTGGTCTGCTCCAATATTTTCGTCATAGGTGTTGCTCTTGCTTGGACATATGGTCGAAGAAAATATTGGTCGGAGAGTGATTCAATTTATTTGGTAATTAACTAAACTGCGTTCTTGATTCAATTTATTTAGAGGTTGAGTCCATTACTCATATCTATCATGAGAGAAATAGGGTGGCTCTTCTGCATGGTAATGGACAAATCCTGGTTCTGTTCTAGAGGATATCTGTTACAAACCTTGTTATCGATTTTTATTTTGATGTCGCATTAAAGACCTTTGATTAAAGAATGCAGGATGTGGTAGTCTATCGGATAATTATGTTTTTGTAATTTGGTTTTAGAGGCATTGAAGAACTTTGACTAGAGAAGATATGGTTAATCAAACCCTAAAAGCTAGGTCGAAGGAGAAAATTAATGGAGGAAAATTGAGGTTGAAAAATAATTATCAAAATCTCTAAATCATTATTACCCTCTTTCGTTAAAATCAAGAAATTGAAAATGGTTCTGTTGAACTTGAATATTGGAAAAGTAATGGTTCCTTCCATCATCATACGCTATTAACTTTTTCATCAGTGCCAGTTTTATTTTTATTTTTGCCTAAAATGGGCACAATGATTGATTTTGTGCTGAATTTGGATGCAAGGGATTATGATAGCTAACACTTTTCCTCATAAGTTAACCATACCATCAAAGGAATAATAATTACTATTCCAATAATAGATATTAGCAATATATATATATATAAATAAATGTGCATCACGTCAATAATAAATCAATGAAGTGAACTACACTCACTATGTATATGTATTCTTTTTCCCAAGACAAACCTAACATACACTCATAATACACATTACTTGCTTGTTTGATCCTCGTTATTTCTAAAATACATTTTTCTTTCTTCTTTTCAACCACATATTTTTTAATAAAATAATATTACACGTAAATTCAAAAATTTCCTTATTTAAATATATGTTCTCCATCAATCTACTATTTAAAAATGTATTTTATAACGAAAAATAGGGTTCAAACAAGAAAATGAATAATACAACACATAATTTTTAGTTTGTTGTTTGTATAATCCGTGGGGTTTTTCTTGTTGAAATCAATCTCGAATAGAATTGAAGTAAAACCGTTCAAGCAAGCTACTATAATAGGATTAGTACGTGTAGTACGTACAACCATATTTATGTAGAGGGTTAACTAAAATCTATATGAAGGTTAAGAGAAAATTAAGGATGTCTTAAAGTCTAAACTTGCTTATGTGATTGTATCAAGTTACAAGTTAAAGAACCGGCTAGCCATATTCCATTAACTGGTAAATGTGCTGGTTTTCTCACTAAAATAATCAATAAATAATTTTGCTAAATTAGAGGAAAATGAAAATGGTAGAATAAACTTCCAATTGCCAATGGAGATTTTGGGTCAATAAATTAAACATTCGTTACGTGTATATATAAGGGTTTTTTTTTTTTTTGGTAGATAAATACTATTATTTGTATCTTGTAGTGTGTGAAAAACATCCTTTTGAACGGTTCAAAATTTACAGACACGGGAAATGTAGATTTTACTCACAATTGCTTGATTTACGTATGCTCAAAATCGCCACTTTACCCTTGTGATGGTTATCTTAAAAAAGTTTTCTTGCGAGAGTGTGTATATTTGATTAATGGATATGATAATTACCCCAAGAAATTGTTAATGAATATATTTATTTAATGGGAGCATGTAAGTGATACGTTTCTTTATCTATAGATATTTAAATAAGTAAAGAAGAAGAAGAAGAGTACACATGAAGCTGCTGATACAAGCATATATATGTTGGCTGATATAATATAATTTATAGAATGACGTACACTGCACCTATATCAAGCATGTATAACATTGCTAATATTTAGAAAAATATCTGTGAAAGAGAAGAAAAGATTTATGAATTGGAGATGAATATATATAGGTAGCTGACGGTGTTGTTAAGGGGTTAGGGAGATATGGGACATCACTGTTGCAGCAAACAGAAAATTAAGAGGGGGCTTTGGTCACCCGAAGAAGACGATAAGCTTATCAAGCACGTCACTACCTATGGCCATAGCTGTTGGAGTTCGGTTCCCAAACTAGCAGGTACGTACGTCGCCTATTTATTACTTAAGCTTGTGATGATCCTTTATATATATATATATATATATATATATATATATATATATAATATAACCGCTCTTCTTCGATGTGTAGGGCTGCAAAGGTGCGGGAAGAGTTGCAGATTACGGTGGATAAATTACTTGAGGCCGGATCTCAAAAGGGGTTCTTTCACCGAGCAAGAGGAGAGAACAATCATTGATGTGCATAGAATTTTAGGCAACAAATGGGCTCAAATAGCCAAACATTTGCCTGGAAGGACTGATAATGAAGTGAAGAATTTCTGGAATTCTTGCATTAAGAAAAAGCTTATTGCTCAAGGTTTAGATCCCAACACTCACAATCTCCTCTCTTCTAACAAAACCAACATACTCAAAAACAACATCAATGCAAGTAACTCTTTTCGACAAGAAACGCCGGCTTTTACTATGGATACTTCATCAAAAACTGCAGCTTCTGATCTTTCAACTTTACTGCCTTGTATTAATACTCCACGTTTTGATCATAAAAACACCATCCAGTATACTAGCTGTTCTGATCATTATCAAAATTCTATGCTTGTTGGCACTCAGCAAATAATTAGTCAAAGTGATCTTTCGGCGTTGGAGTTTACTAACTGTTCTTCAATGGGAAGTAGCAATGTCATGTCCTCTTCTGGATTTGGAACCCTAAATGAGAGTTGCATGTGGGATGCTGGCGGCATCGAATTTCCAATTGAACAACAAAAAGCAATACAACAAGAAATTGTAATGGCGCCGCAGCTGCAGCTGCAGAAACCGAATATAAATGAGAGTGATCATCTGCAGAATTTGGCGGAGGATACTTTCGACAGCGCTAGCTTCGATTTTGATTTTGATTCTGCACTATTGCCTTCTGGAGTTTATTGTAATGTCAGTTCCATGGATCAACTTGCCTGGGATTAAATGCATGTAGGGCTCTAAATTCATTCCTTCTATCTCATACTAGCAAGCATCGAAGTATTTTAATCCATTTTGTTCATATATACCTACGGTTATACATGACAAGAATCATACATACTGAACTACGTGATCTAAAAAACTTAAATTTGCACCAAAACTCTCCACCATACTCGTTTTCATTTCTCTATAGTAAATTTTAATCAGTTGGCACATTGAGAGAATTATGTAAAAAATTGGCAATCCATGGTGTTTCAAGATGAAGTGCTTGTTTGATTAAACTTTGTTAAAGTTTTTTTAATTGGTTAACTTCAATATTAACCATACGTTTCATGGCATCCACAATTTTTATCAACTTTTCTACCACATGTTACAATACCTTCTATCAAAATTTGTCAAAACTTTGTCGAATAGCCCAAAAACTTTATTCTTGCCTTAATATATACATATACATATACATATACATATACATATACATATACATATATGTATATGTATATACATATGTATATACACACATATATATTGTTGCTATACGCCTATACTGCAAATCCTTATGAATGTCCATCAATTTGGTATACAATGAATAATACATGAACAATATGATGACAGTTATTTAGCCAAAATTACCATTCTTTATCTTAAAAAATATTATTACGACCTAAACTTTTAATACGATAAAACTTTTTTATGCATGAAATTGCAATAAAGTATGATCGAGTTGTCGATTGTAAGAAATAAAGACGAGTTAGTTTACTTGATATCTTACTCGGTTGAAATTAATGTATAGAGACATTCACGACTCACAATGTCTTGACAAATAATCATTAATTAAGTGTAAAGAATGTTCTTTACATAAAAATGGTCCTCCAAATTGTTGTCGGAATATCCCTCAAAAAGATGCCTGAGATTATTTTATTTGACCTTATTTTCACCTTAAGGAATAGGGCTGGGTGAGAGGAGAAAATAATTAGCTTTATGTAGAAGTAGAAATGGAAAGTCCAATAGCCTTCAGTTGACTTGGGAATGTGAATTAGTCAAAGCAAGAGATATTTAGACGAGTGCTATAACTCGTTTAGATGGCCTTCAGGAGATTAATAGAAATTCTCTATGGTGTCCTCAAATCAAAGTTTATTGAAATTTAATATTTTTTATGTTTTTTAATTCTGTGTCCTAATTCGATTTTCAATAGATTCAATTAAATTATAAGGGTCTCCATAAATAGGAGTAAATTTTGTTTGATGTCACAACCTTTTAGCAAAATCACAATTTGACCACTAAACTTAATTTGGCTCAATTGAATTATTGAAGTTTAATTCAATTTAAATTTGTGAAATGTTTTCAAAACCAAAACACGTTTTTTAAAGGTGCCAAAATGTTTTTACAACTTGTTGGCCACATGGCAATTTCCTATTGGCAAATTAGTTTTCACATGGATTTGTCTTTCTTTGGAAAAAGCATGGACCATTGATTTTAATCAATGGTTGAAATTAGATCCCCTTTTAATTAAAACATGGTGGACGGCTTTTTCAACAAGGCAGATTTTTTTTCATTTTCTCTTCCTCTCGTCTCTCTCTCTCTCGAAGGGTCTCTCTTGGCGATTTCACAAGAAGTTTTTCTCTTGTATTAAATTTGAAATTCTGACCGGTGTTGATGGGGGTATCAACTGTAGTATTTAGGCTGTTTTGTGGTCTATGGTCTGGTGGTATTTTGGCCGAAAAACTGGTCTGTTTTTCTACGAGTAATAGCCGATGTTTGGTGTTGTATTTGAGCAGTTTTTTGCCTTGTTTCGGTAGATATTAAACTGTGAAGTCAGATACTATTTTTGGTCTAGGTCAGGTTTCGATTTGGTGGAGTATTGTGAGATCCTTTTGTTGGATCGACGATCTGATTATGTGTGAGTTGAGATCCGAACCTTGTAAACAAACTGTTGCTCTTTCTTGTGAGGTTCTTGCATAGTGACGGGCTTGGAACTTTTGCCTCTGAGCCCCCCCAGATTAGGCTTGGCTGAACTGGGTGAACAATTCATGTATTCTTTAATTTTTCGCGTGATTTTTATTTCTGCTGTGCGTGAGAATTGATGACAGAAATTGGATATTGGGTGAAAAATTCCAACAAAACTGGTATCAGAACCTAGTAAGGCGTGGGTAAGGAATCTGTAAATACAGTTTAATTTTTTGTCATACTGATGTGTTTAATTGATCTGTGTAGTCCAATAAGAAATTAGAACAGAAGTTCTTGGAGCCAGGGTTTTGGATTCCGACTCTGCAGTAATCACTGGAGTGGATTTAATACTGTTATACACAGTATTTGGTGAGATTATTCCAATTTTGTTCATAGTACTTTATTTACATGTGTTTTTGAATCATATGTGAATATTATTGTGGTTTGAGTTTGTTCAAGAATTGAATAAATTGTTTAATTGGAATAGAAACACGTACTAGGATATTTCAGTTTTCTGTAATTTGATTGTTTGGTACCAACTGTTAGAAATCTGAAATTAATCTTGCTGTTATTAAATTTGTGCATGCTAAACAACTGTGTTTTTCATTCTATCATCTGCTTATCTGAATTTATCTGCAAAACTTTTTTCAAAACTTTTTCTGCAACTTAAGTGATCTGAAATATTAAAAAATCACTTACGTCCGCGAGTAGTAGCCACTCTTTTACAGAACCTGTAATGGGTTCGAAGGTCGAATTGTTTCAATTCGATGGAAAGGGGGATTACTCGGTTTGGAAGCAGAAAATGAGGGCCATATTGGTCCAACAAAGGGTTGCTAAAGCTCTTGAAGATCCAGAAAAATTTTCTGATGAATTGAAAGCTAAGCCTGATGAAATTTTAGATATGAATGAAATTGCATATAGTTCTATTATATTGCACTTATCTGATAACATTTTAAGACAAGTTGAGGAACACAAAACTGCTAGAAAATTATGAACTGCATTAGATACTTTGTTTCTGACTAAGACGTTGCCAAATAAAATTTACCTCTTAGAGAAACTGTTTAGCTTCAGAATGGATGTTGAAAAGACTTGGAAACTAATTTGAGTAACTTTAACATTTTGGTTAAAAGCCTTTCCCATAATGACAAAAAATTTGAAGATGAGGACCTTGCAGTGATCCTTCTTAATTCCCTACCTGATTCCTATAGGGATATCAAGAATGCAATAAAATATTCAAGAGATGATTTAACGCAATCTATTGTCATCAATGTGTTAAGATCTCGAGAATTGGAAATCAAGAGAGAATCTAGAAATACAAGGGAGGAAAGTATGTTTGTGAGAGGAAGAACTGAAAAGAAGGAAAGTAACTCGAACAACAGAAGATTCAAATCTAAATAAAAAACTAGATCCAAATCACGAGATAGAAGTAATAAGAAGTGCTACCGCTGTAGAAAATTGGAACACTTTAAACGTGATTGCTTTGAATTGAAAAAGAAATCAAAAGATCAAAATAATGAAGATTTGAATAATTCTGCAATTTGTTCTGAGTTAGACAGTCTTCTTGTAATGACTGTGTCTGACGAAGAAGTTGATAAGGACTGGATCTTGGATTCAGGGTGTACATTCCATATGTGTCCTAATAAATCATGGTTTAACAATTACAAAGAAATTGAACCCAGGAAAGTATTTATGGGCGATAATAACTCACAAAGTGTTCTTGGTATTGGTGACATCGCTATCAGAATGCATGATGGCATGGTCAGGAAATTAAAGAATGTGAGACATATCCCAAATTTGAAAAGAAATCTCATTTCGTTGGGATCTTTTGAAGATGAGGGACATTCTTTCAAGTCTAAAAATAACACCTTGAAAGTTATGAAGGGATCTTTGGTAATCTTTAAGGGACCAAGAAGAAATGGATTGTACTATCTTTTGGGAGAGACAGTTATCCCTCAAGATGCTAAATCTTTGACCATAACGAAAAATAAATCTGAATTGTGGCACAACAGAATGGGACATATAGGAAATAAAGGTTTAAAGTATCTAAGTAATCAAAAGTTGCTTGGGAAGGATACGATTGAGCCTCTTGAATTTTGTGAAACATGTGTGTTGGGCAAGTCACATAGGGTGAGCTTTGAGACTGGATCACATACCACCTCTAGGCCTCTAGATTATGTCCACTCAGATTTATGGGGACAGGAAAGTAATCCTACATTTGGAGGGAATAAGTACTTTCTTTCTATAGTTGACGACTACTCTAGAAAAGTTTGGACCTATCCATTGAAATCTAAATCTGAGACTTTTCAAAAATTCCGAACTTGGTTGAAGATGGTGGAAAATCAACTTGATAAGAAGTTGAAAACTCTAAGAACTGACAATGGATTAGAATTTTGCAATGCTGAGTTTGATAACTTCTGTAAGCAAAAAGGAATTGTAAGACACAGAACCGTTAAGCACACACCGTAACAAAATGTGGTCACAGAAAGAATGAATAGAACTCTAATGAACAAAGTAAGATGTATGCTAATCAGTTCTGGATTAGCGAAAGGTTTTTGGGCGGAGGCTGTATGTACAGCTGCTTATCTTATAAATCGATCTCCATGTAGTTCTGTTGGATTTAAAAGTCCACAGGAACTTTGGACGGGAAGACCCCCAAACCTTTCTCATATTAGGGTGTTTGGATGTGCGGCATATGCACATCAAGTTGAAGGAAAATTGGACCCTAGAGCTACTAAGTGTGTGATGCTTGGGTACCCGAAAGGTGTTAAGGGGTACCGGTTGTGGGTGTTAGGCGTTCAAGCTATTAAAATCATTAATAGTAGAAATGTGATTTTCAATAAATCCGAAATGCCATGCCTAAAGAACAAAATTGATAATTCTAAAGAGCAAAACAATGAGACTACTTCACGGAATGAGGTGAAGCTAACAAGGCTAAATCCCACTCAACATGAAAATATTGATGAGGGTGTACAACGATCTGATGAAAATGTTGTTGACACGGATGAAGGTAAAGTAGGTCCAGGTGAAGTCGAAACTGAAATTGAAAGCCCAAATGTTCCCACTATTGAAACAAGTGCTCAAGATTATCAATTGGTGAGAGATAGGGAAAGGAGGCAAATCAAACCAAATCCAAGATGTGAAATAAATAATTTGACCGACTTTGCCCTTATCTCGGGTGAATCTTTAGAGTATTCAGAACCTTCATCATATGAAGAGGCTATGAATAGTTCTAACTCTGAAAATTGGAAAGATGCAATGAAAGAAGAAATGAGATTTTTACTTGAAAACAATACATGGAAATTAGTAAAGAAACCATAAAATCAAAGAGATGTTCAATGCAAATGGATTTTCAAACTAAAGGACGGGATTGTGTCATCTGACCCTTTGAGATATAAAGCCAAGCTAGTAGCCAAAGGATTTACTCAAAAAGAGGGTGTTGACTACAATGAGATCTTCTCACCGGTTGTCAAATATAAGACCATAAGGTTGATGCTTGCACTAGTTGTTCAGTTCAATTGGGAACTCGAACAATTAGATGTTAAGACGACATTTTTACATGATGAATTAGATGAGGAGATCTATATGAATTAACCTCAAGGGTTTGAGGTGAAGGAGAAGGAAGATTATGTGTGCAAGTTGCAAAAGTCATTGTATGGGCTCAAACAATGTCCAAGGCAATGGTACATTAGGTTTGACACATATGTGTTGAAGATTGGTTTCAAAAGGAGTGAATATGATCACTGTCTATACTATAATAACACTAGGGCTGGTAGTGAAGTTTATTTACTTCTATATGTTGATGACATGTTATTGGCCAGCTCTAGTAAATCTGAAATTTTGAAACTTAAAGGGCTTCTAAAATCAGAATTTGATATGAAGGACTTGGGAAATGCCAAGAAAATTTTGGGAATGGTTATCAACAGAAATAGGCAAGATAATATTTTAACTATAACACAAAGTGCTTATTTGAACAAAGTTGTAACCAAGTTTGGCATGAAAGAAGCCAAGAAAGTTAATGTTCCTCTTGCAGCCTATATGAATTTATCATCATCTCAGTCTCCTAAAACTGAAAGTGAAATGGAAGAAATGAAAAATATCCCATATGCTAATGCCATAGGATCAGTGATGTTTTCTATGATTACTACTAGGCCGGATTTGGCTTATGCTATAAGTTTCTTAAGTAGATTCATGTCTAATCCGGGGAAACCTCATTGGGCGGGGTTAAAGTAGCGTTTAAGATACATTGTCGGGACATTAGATTTGGGATTGGTGTTTGAAAGAAGATCCGAACAACTCACTTTAAAGGGGTATGTAGACTCCGACTTTGCTGGTGATAAAGATCAAAGAAAGTCTACTACCGCCTATTTCTTCACACTAGGTGATAATTGCATCACATGGAAGTCACAACTTCAATCTATTGTCACATTATCCAGCACGGAGGCTGAATATGTGGCAATAACCGAATCTGTAAAAGAATGTATCTGGTTGAAAGGAATTTTGGGGAAGTTGAATTTTTTTGCAAGTGTCATTTGTTATTTTCACTGATAGTCAAAGTGCTTTACTTTTATGCAAAAATCCAGTTTATCATGAAAGATCTAAACACATTGAGGTGAAGTATCATTTCATACGTGAAAAAATTGCTTGTGGTGATGTTATACTTAAAAAAATTCATACCGATGATAACCCATCGGATATGGGAACCAAAATTCTAAATGTAGGTAAGTTTAAGTCATGTTTATCTTTACTACATATTGATACAGGTTAATTTCTTTTGCAGGTACTAAGGGCGATGATATAGGGCAAAAATCATTACCATCACATGCATTGTAGCTACTAGAGAGAGCTAGGGATTTGTGAAAATAAGGTGAAGATTGTGAAATATTTTCAAAACCAAAACACGTTTTTTAAAGGTGCCAAAATGTTTTTAAAACTTGTTGGCCACATGACAATTTCCTATTGGCAAATTAGTTTTCACATGAATTTGTTTTTCTTTAGAAAAAGCATGGACCATTGATTCTAATCAATGATTGAAATTAGATTCCCTTTTAATTAAAACATGGTGGATGGCTTTTTCAACAAGGCAGATTTTTTTCATTTTCTCTTCCTCTCGTCTCTCTCTCTCGAAGGGTCTCTCTTGGCGATTTCACAAGGAGTTTTTCTCTTGTATTAAATTTGAAATTCTGATCGGTGTTGATGGGGTATCAATTGTAGTATTTCGGCTGTTTTGTGGTCTATGGTCCGGTGGTATTTTGGTCGGAAAACTGGTCTGTTTTTCTGCAAGTAATAGCCGATGTTTGGTGTTGTATTTGAGCAGTTTTTTGCCTTGTTTCGGTAGATATTAAACTGTGAAGTCAAATACTATTTTTTGTCTAGGTCAGGTTTCGATTTGGTGGAGTATTGTGAGATCCTTTTGTTGGATCGATGATCTGATTGTGTGTGAGTTGAGATCCGAACCTTGTAAACAATTTGTTACTCTTTCTTGTGAGGTTTTTGCATAGTGACGTGCTTGGAACTTTTGCTTCTGAGCCCCCCAGATTAGGCTTGGCTGAATTGGGTGAACAATTCATGTATTCTTCAATTTTCTGCGTGATTTTTATTCCTGCTGTGCGTGAGAATTGACGACAAAAATCGGATATTGGGTGAAAAATCCCAACACAATTCTCTCCATTTTGTGTATAGCTATGTTTTTCTGCATTTGGTTTGATTTATAGACTGTTTTTCATTTTACATTTATTATAATATTTCATCTTTAATTGTGGTTTCTGTCCAATTATCATGCGGGGAAATATTTTTTTTCACACTTATATTTATTGCTTTCTTGTTTATTTAAAATAACAAAGTCAAATACGTCCTTATAATGAATTTTTTTGAAAGAAAAAACCATTTTTAGAGATAAAATATGTTAATTAAAGAAAACTGACAATTAAAATATAATAAAATAAATAAAATTGTGGTGTGAATATAATTATTGAAACTCAAATCATTAACTAAAGGCTTTTAAATTTAAAACATTGTTCACCATGCTGAACAAATCTTGATTGAAAACCTTGACCTGAATTTGATTAACAACTGACAATTGAATATTTGGTTACCAATTGGACAATATAAGCGGCATTTCTTTGTTTCTTATCTACATGCAATAGGATGCATTTTATTTTTCTCTTACAAAAATTGAAAAATATGATCCTTTGAAAGTTAACCAGTAAATTATCCTTAACACAAGCATTAGGCCACACGTTTTTTCGATCAAACTGATTTCATTAAACGAAATGACGTGTAGAAATGGCACAAGAAACAATAAAATACAACTTGTCATAAAGACATGCAAAGGGAGCAAGCTCGCGGACCACTTTATTCCCCTTGTGAGGTACAGTGTAACAAGTGGGGCTGGACATATTTGGTTCGATTAGTTCTAACGAGAATCGAATCGCACCTGAAATTTTTGGTAATTCAGTAAGCGAAGTCGTCGGGTCCAAATTTAATTATGGAACCGTTCAGGTTCGGTTCATTCGATTCAGTTCGGGTTGGTTCCCATTTTTCGTATTATAATTAAAGTTTTTAATATTTACAAAGTTACGTTAATTCAACTAATGATATGTTTAACCTTAATTCTGACAAAATAATGTCGTCCAATCTTATGTGTCTTTTGCATATCTCTTTGCTGAGTTCTTCATAAATTTGATTGTTAAAATCACAGGAAGAGGAAAATAGCGAACTCAAAATAATTAAAAAAGGTATTGTCGAGTTTCAATTCAATTTCTTCAGAACGGTAGAAATGACACTACGGTAGAGTAACAGATTTAGATAAAACTTAAATCAATTTGATTAAATTGGCTTTGAACTGAAAATCAGAAATAAGAAAATCATATTTTTGAGTTTGAACTAAATTAACTAGTTAACAAAATTGGGATGATATTAATTAGGGATATTAGCATAAATGGCCCATAACCAATATACCTTGCGATTTCGGTCCTTAACCTTTTTTTTTCTTTGCATAGACATCCTCAATCTATGGTTTACGTGTGTAAATAGTCATTTTCACGGTTTTCATCTGTTTGATTGTTAAAAAGTCAATTATTATTTATTTTATTTAAAGTCAATTATTATTTATTTATTTATTTATTTTAATCAAACCCCAATGCCACCCCTTTTAATAATTTGCGATAGAAACAAGACAAGAAAGACTTGGAAAAAGAAAAATCACATGACAATTTAATAGAAAAATAGTGAGTCTCTGCCCAATAGAAATAATGCGCATGGATGGTTTAGAAATTTTAAATGTCTAACAATACAAAATAAATTCATGTTGTAATGGTAGTATGGTACGCACGTTCTTAAAGATTTCTTGAGGGGTGGCTCTCACGTATATACTTGCACAGAATATTGACCCCTCTCTCTCTCTCTCGCAGTCAGTATATATAACACAACGTACTGTCATTCAAATTTCAAAATCATCAATTACAATTGTTTTCTTCCTCATCATCTTTGGTTTTGGGCTGCTGATATATGCATAGAAAAATGAATTCGTCCACCAGCTTCTTGTTCATCTTCACCGTAATTCTTGCATTCTCAGTTAATCATGCTTTTGATGATTCAGATACACTCAGTTTCGCCCACTATCATGCAACCTGTCCCGACCTCGAGAAGATCATCCACAGCAAGGTTAAAGAATGGGTCAACAAGGACTCGACACTCGCTCCCGCTCTCATGAGGTTGCATTTCCACGACTGCTCCGTCAGAGTAAGCCACACCACCTTAAACTTTTAGATGAAATGGTTCGTTAATCTGTTTCGGCTCTAACACGACTTGTTCGTGGTGCAGGGATGTGACGCTTCGATTCTTCTAAATCACAAAGGGAGTGAGAGGATAGCCAATGCCAGCAAGTCATTGAGGGGATTCGAAGTGATTGATGATATCAAAGCAGAGCTTGAGAAAGAGTGTCCCAAAACTGTGTCCTGTGCTGATATTCTGACTGCTGCTGCAAGAGATGCTACTGTCGAGGCCGGTGGTCCATTTTGGATGGTAACGTATGGTAGGAAAGACGGACGAGTTTCCATCGCCCAAGAAGCTGATTTGGTGCCAATGGGTCACGAAAAAATAACCGACTTGATCGAGTTTTTCCAGTCCAAGGGATTAAATGTGCTCGACTTGGTCGTCCTCTCTGGTATGTGACTACTGACAGAAAAAAACATTCGTACATTTGCGATATTTTAAATAATTTTGTATAATGATCATCTTAATTGATTTTAACAGGAGCACATACTATTGGAAGAAGCACATGTGGTTCTCTGCAAAACAGGCTCTTTAACTACAAAGGAACAGGAAAACCAGATCCAAGCATCAATCCTAAATACTTGAATTTCTTGAGAAGAAAATGCAGATGGGCTTCGGAATACGTGGAGCTTGATGCAGTGACGCCCAAGGCCTTCGACGTGCAATACTACAGAAATCTTGAGAAGAAAATGGGTTTGTTATCGACTGATCAAATGTTGTACTCTGATTCACGTACTGCACCCCTTGTCACTGCATTGACTTCGCAATCTTCAGTCTTCCGTCATCAATTTGCTGCGTCCATGGTGAAGCTTGGAAACATTCAAGACTATGATGATGATGATGATGATGATGATGATGGTGAAATTCGAGTGAATTGCAACTGGGTCAACGCGTGAAAATCTTACTTTGCATGTATTCACGAGCTAGCTAGAGCTAACAAATGCATGATTTGTTGGAAGAATTATCGTTTTTAACTTGGTCTCCCCAATTTCGATTTTTTTTCAACTATTAAATGCTCATTTGTCCTTTTTCACCAAATTATTTCGGCTGCTTCGTTAGCACATAACAATGCTTGCTTATATTACTTATCTACTTATTATGCATTTCATTAATCATTAGAAATTCGTTTAATTCCATATGACAACCGTCTAATTTGCTCTGCCAAGAGGCGTCTCAAGCAATTTGGTATTTTAGGCAAATTGTCAATAGGTCTTTTTAAAAACAATAATAAAAGAAATAAATAGAGCAAATAATCACTGACATTCTAGCAGACGAAATCATGATTGGAGATTCTGATTGAAATCAATAATTCAAATAGAATTAACGAGGGCTGTATAGTTAGGATCACCTACTTACCTTCATCAATAATAACCCACAATAATATCATCGTTGATGTTGTTGGAATCACCTACAATGCTTTAGCAGCCGAAAAAAAGCCTGTTGTGATTGCCAAGGGTATGAATATTGTTGATTCTAGTTGAAATCAATATATGTTGAAAATTTAAATAGAATTATGGATGACAATATCGTTGATAATATTGGTGGAATTGAAACCAATATATTTTGATGATTCGAACAACATTGTTGATATACTATCATCAGCAATAACCAACAACAATATCATTCACAATGTTGTTGGGAACAACCCACGGTGCTTGAATCACCAACGAAAATTTGTTGGTGTTACTCACATTTTTTTTCTTTCTATAAAGTTACCTAATTATAAATTATTTTTTAACTTTTATTTTGTTCTCGACAAATTTTTGGTTAGCGTTTAAATTTCTTTAGTAAATTAAAATTTTTAAACTATTTATGTTTTTAATACTACTAACTTAAAGGATTGTTAGTAATTTTTAATTATTTTTTAATGCTATTGATTATCGACAAAAAAATTCATACGAAAAAAGGAAAAACATATATCTTTTTTACATAGAGGGCCTTAGATGACCACCTAACTCGTCTAATGCTTGAATCGACTCTAGCACCACCTCATAACACATTGACCACCACACAGTGGTCAACTCGATTTTAAGTGTATGTCTCGGAACAATTTTAAACAACTTCTAATTACAAATTTGACCGTTAGCCATTTTTTTTTATTTCAAAGCCTATAGATTTTCCTGACATTGACAGACCACATAATGCTCTACTTTTTCAAAATTGCCCTTCCATTACATACAACCAACAACCCACCTACCAAAATCAATTTGAGAGCAAATATGAGAATATATTTGAGTAATAAATGCACCATACTCCAGGATTTCAGGATGATTTGACAGGAAAATCACTTGTGGATTTTTGACAATTGCTCCCAGACACAAAATAAGTAATTTTGTTCTCTTCGTAATTTGTAAAATTGAACTAGTTTTCAGCTTTATGAGAAATGCACTACTAGCTAGATATCATGAAGTTTGACAATTATGTTTGAACATACAGAGAATCGAAAGTGTAACTAAAACACTTATTATTACATCTTGTTTATTTGTTCATGATTTGAAAAAGCTCATTCAGAAGTTCGACAAGGAGTACGCTGGTGTTTACCTAACTATAACTTGGTTTTTATGGATTCCTTCACACTCCCCAACTACAAATGAGTAAAGATTTAAATCTCCACGACCTCCCACAAGAGCTGTCTGGGCATTCTGGGGAAATTTAATTATTGATGGAGATGGTAGCGTTCGTAGTCGCTAACTTTCCAGTTCAGGCAACTATGTGTATTCAGGTTCCTTCTGTACATCACTTGACTCGAGTTCTCACTGGCAATCTATCTATGGAAGGTTAAAAGTTAAGATTGTCAATACCAATCATTCAACTGTAAAATAAGCTAGTAGTATTATGTGCTAATGAAACAGAGGAAATAATGAGCATTGAAAAGCAACACTAGAAGAGTAAACTGTGTTCTGCATGTTTATATTCCTTCTCAAAATCGGTTTGTAGCAATGGAATTTTATTGTCAAATACACCTCAAACGAGTCATTAACAAATATTGCTGCACCAGAAGTAAAATCAAACAGAAAGGGAAATGCTAAAACCTTCCAAAAGGGGAAAAATGATTAGGCAAAGCAATTGTTTATAACCCAGGACAAGAATTTGCACAGTTATTACATTCTTTGACAAATGAATCCCAAAGCAATTGCGCTTCAACAAGTTCCCCCTAGCTTTTAGTCTTCGTCATCGTCTGCAATTAGAGGTCGCAAACAAATCAGACAGATTAAAGGGGAATATTTTAAAGGTGCAGACAAACTACAGCACACAGAAAACTTAACAGTAAGACCAAATATGGCCAAATAAGTTATTTTGCAAGTATGACCAACAAACTTAAGTGGTAAAAGTAAACAAAGGGGTAAATCCAGAAAGCAGGGGCAGGCAACTTTCTTCCCTGTCCGAGAGTTTATTTCTTCTTTGTGACAACATAATTACAAAGCATAGGCATGTCCCCTCCATATATATCCACATGCACATTCACAGAGTCAATGGATCTCAGCAATTATATACTATATGAAGGAGAAAAAAGAAAAGAAAAAAAGGCCTAAATCTACGCCACTGACTTCCAAACTTCCCAAATAATTAGGGTAAAGATCTAAGACGGGGAAACGAATTCTTAAGATGCAATAAACAGAAGTCTCAATCACGAGTCTCACCACTGCCCAGTCTCCCCACCACAAGCCAACAGAATCCCATCTGGCATTAATTACCACTTGTGGAAGAATATAGTAAGGTGCGAGAAAAAATAAGGAAACAGGAATTCGTCTCAGTGCATGTTCTCGAAGTGCTACCATACTATCACAAAAGTCTTCCAGCTCTTAACCTGCATACAGATTGGGAACTAGAGATACCTTGCCCAATTGGACATGGGAGACCAAATTTCACTCTTACATCATCTTTAATACAAGTTCTAGCCTTTTCTCCTTCCTCACAGTGAAAAAACAAATATAACTTTACATGCTCAATCCATTTCTGACTACAATGATCACTAAAAGGCTTCAGCTTTGTTACTGCTGGCTCACAATACAGGCTCTCATTTCTCAAGAGAGCTTGCCTATTTTATTTAATGAGACAGTGGCTACATTTTTTTCGCATGATTGGACGCAACAGTGGCTGCCAAATCACCACAATATTATCACCAGAAGTTTTCCAACCTAACTAACATACATCTTGGGAACTAGAGATCCCCTAGCCTAATCATATTATACATTGGAGCATGATTTTAAAAAATACAAAATGAGGGCTATCTTATACGAGGCGAATAGGAAATGATTCAGGGCACTGATTGTGAAGTAGATTTTGAAGGCATAGCTGCACCTCAAGGCTTGTGAGGTGTGAGCTCCTTAATTTTCTTGTTTAGTTTGCTTTAGGTGTGAGCCCACAACTTCAAAAGTTCCAATTAACCCACTTCTGAAATGACCTGTAGATTTTTCTTTTCATTGTTTGCATAATTTAAATTGTTCTATTTGAACTTTGAAAATTGTTTATGATATGTAATGTCCTTATTTTCCATTTTAATAGTTTTTAACCTTTTTTTGGTTTAAGGTAAGACTTATGCCTCAAAATGTCTTAAAAACGCCTTAGTACCCAATTATGCCCTTTTAATCATTGCATGGAAGAGCGAAATTCACCCTTCTACAACCTATAATACAAATTCTAGACTCGTCTTCTTCCTCAAAGTAAAATAAATAACAAAATTACCTAACTACCCATCGAACAATGATCCAAAAAGGTCTCAGCTTTGTTACTAATGGAGCATAGAACAGGTTCTCAACGGAGCTCACCTGTTTCACCCAACTGGATGATCCTAAAGGGGCTGTAAAGTTACTTTATATATAAAATATTCATTTAGAGTATCTAAGCGAACATTCTGAAGAAGCCAAAAAGTATATGCAAACTCAAGATGAGATAAAAGCACTCATAAGGTAGAAACCTCGTAAGCAACCTTAAATACATAAATGCGAGCCAATATACTTGAACAAAAATGTAAGGATTAAGATGGTGAATAAACGTTAGCATACAGCATTCTCCTAACAACAACACCTCACTATATGCATGTTCGTATGCATCATCCCTTCAACAAAGAGGCAGCAAGTAAAGAACCACAACGTGAGATAAATAAGGGAATGCCCTACATTCGTAGATTGTGAATGCTAATGGTTTAAATGGTAGCTAATTTTTCTCAGCTTTTGCTCTCTGTAAATCAAATTAAACCCTGGGTAAAAATATATATACCAAGATAAGGGTAAGACCAATGGTAAAATTTAGACATTTCAACCATAAAAAGCTATCATTCTGCTTGGAATTAAAGTCTAATATTCTCCAAAGCACATTGGGTGTCAAAATTATGTCTTCCTCTAGTAACAAAAGGCTAATAACACAACTCCTCAATTGACAAAATGGCCAACTTTAGGTCAAAGACGTTAAACATCAGAAAAAGTACACATTTCTGCCACCTAAATGTCACAAATCATGCCCAGATTATATGCACGGTAATTGCAAGATGTTGTGCACAAAATAATTGCTATAAACACTCCAAGCCTATGTTTGGCTCATGTTTATAAACACTCATCAATTTTTATCCACACATTTCGAATGGACGCAGAAGCGTTATCCACTACTTATCCATCACTCAGTTGTATTTATTTATAATTTAAACAGCTTATAAACACTTCCGAAACATGCTTTAAGAATACGCAGGAAAATTGAAAGGAAAAAATAAAGGAATTTCAGAGATATCCATAAACCCTATCCAATTACGAATTGAGAGGAGAGATAAACTCAGAAAAACAAATAGGTACCAAAGTAGCGGCGTTCATTGGCTTGTTTGGCCTTCAGGAGTAACTTGTCGAGATCTTCCTGGGCTTTGGCCTCCCACTTCACCATCTGATTAGCGAAGACCGCGCCCAGCCCCATTCCCAGCAAATGCTCCCATGGATCTGCAAATTTTTGGAAATCAATCACATCCGGATACAGTTCCTATAATAAAGAAGGCAGGAGGTCCTTACGGCGCATGTAAGGAAGCTTGCGCAGGGCATTGGAGTACATCTGGGTACCCAGTCCCAGCAAGGCTCCCACCATCGTTGCGCTTAGCGGCATATTTAGCAGACAGATTGGAGATGAGGGTTTCTTGTTTCCCAGTTGAGACTGGGGTACTTTTTAAAATAGCTTGGTCAAACAACAAATTTTCGTTTTGACCATTTTTTTTTTGTATTCACCACATTGGCCTATTGTCATTAAAAAGACAATTCTACTCTTATTCATGTTTAATAATTACAAAAGTATATCAATTGTTTAAAAGACAATAATACCCTTAATAGTTTAAATAAATTCTGTTACTTCCATACGTAAATTTCAAAATCAGTTTTGGTTTATCAGTTTCTCCAATACAGTAAAAAAGAATTTTTTCCTTCCATCTGCTAAAATATTGAAATCTCCCAAAATTATCAAAGGTTCAAGAAAGAAACAATACTCACAGTCGGCACTGGAAATTGGTAAGTGTAAATACGTATTTTGAATTTTGTTTTAGTTAAATTTACTGTTTGAATCTGTAAATAATTATTTAGAGAAAGGCAGATGAATTTTACAGTATTTAAACACAGATTTATAATTTTTTTATAGCAAAAACAACAAAAGAAATTCATCTCTGTATGCATATATTTTACAGGAAAAATTTATAGGTGTCTGTAAAATAAATATTTAAACATTATTTCGTTGAAAAAGGGAAAAAATAAAAAATTAGAGCGTAAATTTCAGATGAAACGGACGAAAAAAGCTGGGCCAAATGTTTCCAGCCGGCCCAGTTGTCGGGGCCGGATGGAAACAGTCGGCCCAGTTATCTGGGGGCTGGAAACAGCCGGTTGTTTCCAGCCGGCCCAGATAACTGGGCCGGCTGGAAGTAGCCGGCTGTTCCCAGCCGGTTGGGCCGGCTGGAAACTTTTTTATTTTTTATTTTTATTTATTTTTTTTTTTTGCAGATTTTAGAATTTATTTGTTCAATAATATATGTTTATTGAAATAAATATTAATGAATATTTAAATATTAATTGAAATAAATATTTTTGAAACATTTAAAATAATCAATGAATTATTTAAAGTATTAAATTAAATTAAATATGAAATGAACAATTTAAAAAATTATATATTAATTCCTTATTTTTAATTTGTGGCAGATATGGCATCAGCATGTGTCCCAATTTGTTACTTTGGTGAATTTCAAAGGAATGATATGTCCACGAGGGGAAACACGAAGTTTCAAATGAAGAGAATCGTAATGTAAATGATGTTTGGGATACAATTCAGATTGTTCGTGAAGATGATGTGGTTATGCTTAACGTCGATCCCTCTCAGTACGATATGGAATTGGGATTTTTGTTTCATAAGCATTCAACCATTTCAATTCCACCTATGAAAGTTACTTCTGAAGTGGAAATGAAACATCTAATTAAATTGAATCAAGGCCGGAAGTCGACTCCTATTTGCGTAACTTTATTGGGGAAGAATGTCCGGAAGTCGACTCCTATTTGCGTAACTTTATTGGGGAAGAATGTCCACGAGGGGGAACACGAAGTTTCAAATGAAGAGAATCGTAATGTAAATGATGTTTGGGATACAATTCAGATTGTTCGTGAAGATGATGTGGTTATTCCCGAGACCACTGCTACTCACCATGGTCACACTGTTACGCACAGAATTCCATCGATAGTTGAAGACAACGAGAATGAAAATGCATTTACAAACGAGGATTTGATTGCTTTATCTCGTAGGAGACATGAGTCGGGTGGGAGCTCGCAGGCCGGACCGAGTACACGGTCCTCTAATTGTTCGCGTGTAGTTCCCGATGATGAAGATGTATATGTCGAGCAACTATTCGAATCAAAGAAAGAATTGCAAGAAGCTATGCACCGGATTGCTTTAAAACATAACTTCGAGTTTAAAGTGAAGAAATCAAACAAGTCGACGTACATAATTATTTGCGTTGACGACAGTTGCCATTGGCGTTTGCGAGCGACTAAGATGGACACGAATGAGTTCTTTGTAGT